AAAAAAAAAAAAATATTTGATATGTACATACAATTCTCCAATAAAAATATAAATAAAATATCATATGCCAAAATTTTAACTTAAAATTATATTCAAAATATTAAAAATTTTCTAAAATAAAATATTATATATTAAAATATTTATTATAGCATCCCATTGAATAAGCTACTGAACCTCTTATTTATGTCTAATGTTAGATACAAATGCTCACCTTTCCGCTTTCAAGTCCAGTTGAAAATTACTAGTGTTTTTCTTTTTCACAAGCATTTATGACGATGTAATGTGTTGTGTGATCCATTGCGCAAAGGGATGAATAGGAGCCAAACATTTCATTATCATGGAGTATCAAATAAACCTTGTCCAAATAGAAGCTATGGTGGTGTTGAATCCATTTAAGAATTAAGATCTCGTATTATTCGTGAATGTATACAGCTCGATCACGACGTTGTTTTAGGATATAATATGGACAGAAGAGAAATGAATGTGGAGCTTATGAGAGTATTTTTCAGTGCAACTAATGAGGTGCAAATTCCGTCCAGCCGAAAAAAATGGCTCCAGGGAGGTTTCTCGAATTACAATGTTTTCTCCTAGAATCACAGGGGAGAGAGAGAGAGAGAGAGCCCTCCCCATCCTCCTCCCTAGACTTCCCTTTTAAACATAAAGGAGAAGAAAATAAAATATATATTTCATACGATATGGAGCCCATCCATAATATCTTGATGAAAACACCTTGACTTTAATGTCAGGCGGTTCTTTTAAAGAAGGATGAACTTGTGACCAGGTGTATAATGATGACTTTCCTCGTAACTATTGTTCCCTTCTATGCCTTCCCTATGGAAAAGGCGAGCCCAGACACTTCAGTAAATAAGCTCAACTCAACCACTTTAGCAGGTGGTTCCGTTTAGCCACTTCGACAAGTGGGTTCAGAGTAGCCACTTCGGCGGATTGGCTCAAATTAGCAACTTCGCCAGGCGGGCTCAACTCAACCACTTCGGCATGTGGGTTTAATTCTGCCATTACAATAGAAGGGTCAATTCACGAAAGCGGCCTAATTCCTCGGCAATGGGTCACGCAGTTTGCACTGACTTATTGACTTCCATGACAAACTTCCTATACAAAACCTGGTTTGGGTGTACAATCGTTTTTGGTGTATATCAGTGGATTGGTGGTTGTAATACAAATTTAATCCAAGCAACTATGTGGTGTAACAATGGGCATCTTTAGCATAAATTCATTAAGCATAAATATTAATTATTTAGCACCATATATTACAAATCACATGTAGGGCATTCAAAATAACAACAATAAATACTAACAAATAAAGCTATTATTGATGATAAATAGATAATGGCTGATTAGCCCATCCATTGAAGATGAATTGTATGAGCTTCTATTGACATCATTGGCTCCAACATGATTTCTCTCATCATAACAAAAAGAGCATGGTTTCAATGCTAAAACTATCATTAAATTCATATTTATTTACTTAGCCAACTGTTAGGCAGGTGCAGGGGAGTCACTACTGAAGATAGGGAGCAAAATATTTCAAAACCTCCTCATAAACAGGTTTCTTGAAGCCAACCGCCTGTAGATATATCAGTAGGCAAATAAGGCAGTAGTCATTATTTTTTTTGGAAGATTTACATACATACCACTCAGTTCCTATGTATTTGCATATCTAACTCCTAAACGTCAATTTTTACATACATACCACTTAGATATGTATGAAAAGGTGTATTTCACTTTTAAAAAGTTAAAATAGTGGTATTTTTCGTGTGATAGGAAAGAATTGGGTGGTATAAATGAAGAAAACAAAGTATAGGTGTTGGACATGTAAATACAACAGAATTGGGAGGTATTTATGTTTAACATATAATAAGGTTTACGATCACTTACAAGTTCAATAACTTGTTGTGGTGACATCCATGACCATTCACCAAACTCTGGCTTCTCGGTTTCATCCCCGTCGAGATTTATCTCTTCCTCCTTCCCAATAAATCTAAAACAAAACCTGCATTTTATATTTTCATCCATTAGCAATTAGTCTATTGGTAAAAACAGTTAGGAGTTATTTTGATTGGCTAACATATTTCAGCACAGAAAATATGAAAGCAGCGCAACAGTAAAAAGGAATACTTTAAACGATAAAAGAATGACATAAAAAATAGAAATGGCAGCACAGAAAATATGAAAGCAGCGCAACAGTAAAAGGAATACTTACAAAAATAAATAAATAAATAAAATCTACTGACGGCATAAAAAAGGTTTTAGCTCCGAAAGTTTATCCAACCACCATTACCATTAGAGCTGTGTTGCACGGATACGGACACGGGGATATGGACACGGACACGGGGATATGGACACAGACACGACACAAATACGTGACACATCAACTATTAACAATATAAGAAATGGACACGCGTTAGACACGCTAATATAATAAAAATTATTTGTGTATATATATATATGTGTGTGTGTGTGTGAGAGAGAGTAATAAACAAAATATTAAGAATAATACAAAGAAGAAAATAAGAAATTTAATAGGATTAACTTTTAAAAATGAAGTGCATGTTTGATATCGCTTTTGTTACCTCTTTTAGTTGACATAACTTTCATATATATATATATATATAGGATTTAAAATAATAAAAAATATAAAAATAGGCATATATTATTTTGTATTACATCAAGATTTAAGTCCTCTTAATCAATTATTCATTAAAAGAAATAAAAATATCAATGACTTATTGGGCACCAAATTCTTATTTATATACATATCTAACACCTAGATTTTGATTTTTATATTTGTACAACCAAATCTTATAGATCACATCTAATATACTACCAAGTTCAATTTTAAAAAGTGAAATATACATTTTCATATATATGTAATGTGATATATATGTAAAAATTGAAATTTAGGCGTAAGATATGTAAATGCAAAAAAATTGACTGAAATGTATAAAAAAATTCCTTCAATTTTATATAAAAATATATATTCATTATTTGTAAACTTAAAATTTACTTTAATAAATTGTTAATTCATTAATTTAGGGCGTGTGTGTTCTCTCTTATTATTATTATTATTATTTAAACAAAAAATTTATATACCGTGTCTGACACGTGTTAGAGTTGTGTCCGTGCCCGATACGTGTCCGACATTGCACGGCTCCTTAATTAAAAGGGTTTGTGCAACATAGCATTAGAGGTGCTAGATTTTCTTAACTTATTAGAGAAATTTGTATAAAAATCCTTATAGTAGGCTTTTTTTTCTTTTTTCTTTTTGAAAAGGGGCCTTAGTTTTAAAATTTTGCTGGCCAAAATATTGGTTGTAACATATTTCGCAAATAAGGACAACCAACCATAAATGCTAGGATTTCTGGAAACCCAAGCAAATAACATTAGAGTCTGTCATGAAATACTGCCATTGCAACTAGGATTTGTCGTTAAACCTTAGCATGATCTTATGGCAGATTTTATAACAAAGCTTTCAAGTGCTGTCAAGGTTTAAACATAGATCCTATTAGTACTATCAGGATTTAAGGAAAACTTGGCTTAAGGAGAAGGCTTAATTATCCTTCTACTTAAAATAGGCTAAACAATTATTTGCAAATTTTTGAACTGATGTCCTCCATTCATTAAAAGATCAGACCATAGGAAAACGTGAATTTTGGGTGATTTGTGGGCCAAAGATGGGAAAACACCTACAATTATCTTTATGTTATATTATGATGAAATATCGAAAATATAGTAATTATCTGATGAGATACCAAATGGTTATTCCTCTAATAATTATATGAATGATGATGCATTAAATGATGCTTCATCTTCTAATGAGATATTGGATGGCTATTTATCTTTTGATGAGATATTGAATGGTGATTCATCTACTAAGATTTGTAATGATGAGACAAAAAATGGTGATACAGGTGTAATTGGTTTCAGGTATGGGTAGGAAGCCAATAGAATAGGTGATGATGCATAAAAGAGAAGTTTGTTAGATGATGTACTACGTTTAGTATCTTTTTTTTGTGTAATTATGAACTGATGTTTAAAGATTACTATTATATGATCATTATAGTATATATATTATTTTGGGTTTTAAACATTCCAATCATGTAAAAGCAAGTATGTTTCCTTATACAGTATATTATTATGCAAAAGATATAGGGGTCTTGTGTGCATATGATTTGAACTGAGATCATCTCTGATGATCCTGATTTTTCAGGGGAATGATGTTCTGGAAGATTGAATGTGATCCATATTAGAAGCCAGTAATGTTCTCATCCACAGCTGCACTGCAACTCGATATAAGCTGCAATAGTAAATGGGTTACGTGGGATTTGGTGACAGCAAATTGGTTAGGAAGGTACATCCAAGAAGAAAAGTGGAAAAAATGAACAACAACAAGAACACGTCAACAGATCTTGATCAAAGTGGTGCGAAGATCAATTGCCTCCCACTTCAACAAGCAGAAGAAATGTATTAGCAAAAAAAATTGTTAGAATATTAATTAAATTATTAAATCAATGAGCGAATGTGTTTCATGAATTAATGGATTCTAAGCAATCCAAAAAGGTTTCTATAAAATTCCTCCAACCCTTACTACATGCCAGACGGATCCATCCTAATACTAACATGAAGAACACAAAAATATATAGAATAATGTTTAAATTGCGTATAGTAACAGTTGCATATTATTATTAAGATTAAAGTTAAGGAAGCAAACCATTAAAGTAGAATTAAATTGCATATAATGCAAAAAAGATTTGCATTTTCAAGAATAAGAATTTTCGTAGTGCCATATGATAACATACCACTTCTGGGCTTGACCTTTCCAGTCTTCTCCCCATAGCTTGTTCAATTTCTCTCTCACTTCAAGAGGAAAATCATAGGTCAACCAATAAGGAACCTGTAACAACATTGTAAATACGGCATGGAAGTTTTGAAGTTTTCATCATTCATGCACATGTAATTTAGAAAAGCTGAAATCCTAAATCATCAAAATTTCATGAATGTAATTGTAGCAAGCTCAAGTTAGTAAACACCATGATTCAGTGTTAAATCCAAAACGACAGTCAAAATGCTTCTGTTTGTAGCTTTTGGTGCACCAGTTGTAGTATCTAGAACAGGACCTTGAAAGTATAGGTGTGAGATATGCAAATATATAAGAACTTCCCCACAGATCCTTTGAGAACGGGAAAATAAGAAGCCTAATGAGATCCATTAAAGCACTACAGCCTCACAGCATTGCAAAACCAAGTATAGACAAAGCATTTAAATGTTGACCAACATAATGACATCTCTAAAGTTTAATATCAAACCTCTGCAAGTATCTCTGCAGATGAAACTCCAGTTTCTTCTAACAGCTCTCTAAAGGCAGCATCCCTTGGATCTTCTCCTTCACCAACTCCGCCCTGTAAATGCATTTAAAAAATAAAAACCATAGATTTAAAAGAAAACAGGTGCAAGCACAGTGCCTTTATGAAGCCAAAACTTTTTTGTCATAATTATTCTACAACTATAAAAGAGCATAGTTGTTATTTTTTCAATTTCAAATAGATGTAGTATAATGAATAAAATAATAGAATGATCTAAAAGATGGATTTTCTGGCCATTCTATTCCAACCATATCATCAGAGGTACGCGTTCTCCAGCTGAGAGAGGTCTGAATGTTTCAAGAACCACTCAAAAAAATTAGTAGCAATATAAAAGAGTCCGGTAGTATGATCAAGAAATAATCAAATATTGAGGTGGTCATCTGCGAATAAAGAAGCATGCCTAAAGAATAAGTGTAAAAATGAACAAGCTAACTAAGAATTGAGATGAGTTGCTTCCTATCATAACCTTCCTTGCAACCTGGTCAATCCTTTTTAAATCAAGAGAAGTAAGACTTTTATTCAAAGAATTGAAATTACATATAGCCAAGAACTCTTGCCCTTCTGACAATAAACTTTATCTACATCACCTCTCCAATGGCATCATTCATTATATAATTTAAAACCAAACATATATTTGTAACGTATAAAAGAGTTATTAAACTTCAAAATTTGCAGGATACATCATTTACATAAGAGCACAATTATCACTTGCAAATTTACTTCATGCAAAATTTATTGTTTGGAGAATTCTAGATAACTACGGACACTCTACCACCATTAAATTATTACTTAGGTGCATAAATTTAATTCTTCAAAGAAAAGCTCTTTAAGGAAAATGATGTGGTACAGGAAGCTCAGGGAGAAAGACCAGGATAGACTACAAGATCCCAGAGCAAAAAGAAAGCTGCTTCCAATGAAGGACCCATAACAAGGAGCATAATGTTTAATTAGAACTTATATTTTTAAATGTTGTGCCTTTATTGTAAAGACTATGTAATTGTATTTTTTTTATTTTTAACATTTATAAATTTTAAAATTTTGAATTCAAATTTTAATTTTTAAGTTTGAAATTTCAACATCAATGGAATGGTATTCGATTTCATTATAAAATTGATTATTTAACTTAAAATTAATCAAAATAATCAATTTCCAAGGCTCTTTAACCGGCCAACCCTTATCTGGGGGGAGTTTTTACACTCTGAGTAACAAACACTTCCATGGTAAACCCAAAGGAAAAAAAAAAACCTTACACTTCCATAGCCAATTAGTTGGCTAGCCACCTTAACTACCTATCCGTCCTAATTAATAAAAAAATGAAATAAAATTACTTAAATATTCATTTTTTAGAATTAAGGAGGGCTTAATGTTGCTTTTTTTTAATTTTGATTTTTCATTTCAAACAATGGCGGGCTCGGTGGCCTGCCTCACCATTAAAGAGATTTAGTGATCTCTTCAAGGCTTGCCACTTTGGTGAGTCATAAGTCACAGAATTTCTATAAAGCCTATGCATCCTTTACAGTAGAACCCTTCTACTATTTTTCCTCCATATCTTCACACTCATTCCCATCCCATTCCATTCCAACTCTACTCCAAAACCACATTGGGGGCACTCGGCCTACACTAGAATGAACATAACTTAGTCTTATTCAACATACATTTGGCATACTTAAAACCATTCAAAAATTTGTGAAAAGCTCTAGAACTAAAGTTTACAATTCCGGATGTTTCCAAAGCCTAGAGTCTCCTTTTTTTTTTGCACCAAAAATTTTAAACTAAATAGTAGTGCTCTTGATTTTATGATTTTCCCCCGTCCTTGACTGACCCTTTTCAAGGCACTTAGTATCTTGAATTCTTCCGGAGGCTAATACACTATCTCTAACATCTTTCGGAAGCCATACAAGCGGAATCGAGGTAGCATTCCAAGGCCTAACCCTATGCCTCATCATGGTTACATTAGAATTTTTTTTATTCTTAAAACAAACTGGTTCATGAAATCCCATAAAGCTATCTTCATTGCAAGAATTACCCAAACATTGAGCTATAAATATGACTTCATATTTTTCCTACATATTAAATTAAGGAATGATAATCAAACTTATTAAATTCATTAGGACAATTACAGTTAGCGCAAGTATTAGAAACACAAAAACATTTAACTATCATGGTCAGCACCTACAACAACATACATACATTTGTCAGTCCAAGGAGCCCCTAACATATGAACGCATAAGAATTACAGGAAGCGCAATAGGCCAAGCTTGTGGGCAAGTCAAAGAAGGAATAACCAACAGGAATTGAGAAGAACCGTCAGGCATAGCACAAAAAAAAGGAGTAATTCCATCTTATTATAGATATTCATACCCAATTCTTAGCCTCCTTCGGTTAATCCATTAAATGGCAACGTCTTGGAGGACTAGATGATCATTACTATTAGTAATACCATAAATATTGCAGCGAGCTTCTGAAGAGACAGCTCTTGAAGCCCATTACTTTAAGTAGAGCCATTAGCTCCTTGGTTAGCATACACTAACTATCTACTAGAGCACTCTCCATCTATAAAAATAAGAGTAACATAAGGCCTTTCACTAAAAACATTTATATCATTAAATTCCATATCACCAGGCCACAATTTTAGATTACTCTCAGCACCAACAATACTCGAAATATGTGAATTGATTACCATCGAGTTGTGTTTGATATTTAAGCTCCTCAAAAAATGCTTCCTAATGATAATTTATTATTAAGAAAGGTAACCTAAATAAAATTGTCATGATGGATGGAAAAATCCACCACAGCTAAAACTAGTGTTGTCAATGATATAAGGCATAGTTGAGTCTAATAAAAGAGTGTCATAGTTGAGTCTACTTTCATTAGATGCAGAGAGAATACTAGGGAATAATCAGATTGGAAGCAAAAAAGTGGTCTTTAGCCAAAACCTGCTATTAACAATAAGCAAGCAAGCAACACTTAAAGAACTAGCAGAAAACAAAGAAGTAGAAGAAGAGTAATAGTTACCGCAAGGAGGAAAATGCTTACAGTATTTCCATCAAGTCCTTACCTGAATTACATCCTCAATATATAACCTATAGAAGAGTATTCTAGAATATATGAAACCAGAAATTAGTTAGGATTCTGAAATGAAATCCGCACGCGAGATAGTGGAGGTCAAGCTACCGTTGGTACAAGAACGGTCTCCACATGCATAACCGAATTTTGTTATAGAAATTATCCCTCTGCAAGCTGATTGGTCTTGTCGAGAACTTGAAGCTTAGACTTAAGAAGATTAAAACGCTGTTTTACCAAGGCTTAGTTAAAATGTCCGTCAGCTGATCCTGAGTATGAATTTAGCACAGTTGAAGGTGTCCGGCTTGTATGTTTTCCTGGATAAAATGATAATTGATTTCAATATGCTTCGTGCGTGCACGGAATAATGGATTATTTGTGATAGCCATTGCGAAAACGTTGTCACAGATGAGATGGGTAAGGGATTCTTGGGCAACTCCGAATTCAGTAAATAGTCAGCGAAGCCAAAGCAGATCAATTGTAGCTACTGCCAAGGCGCGGTATTCAGCTTCCGTCAACGAACGTGCCATGGTCGCTTGTTTCTTGACTGTCCACAAGATAGGAGTAGTACCAAGGAAGGTGTAGAAGCCTGTAATTGACTTTTGATCAGTTGAGGCCCCAACCCAATCGCCAGTTGAGTAGGTTCGAATGATGAGTGGAGCATGAGTGATGGTAAGGCCGGAATCCTATGTACCCTTGAGGTAACGTAGTAGGCATTTTAGCAGTTGGTTGTGCTATATGAAGAAATGACGCATATGTTGGCATAAAAGGTTCACGGTGAACGCAATGCCCAGTCTCATAATGGTCAAATATAGAGTGCACCTGTAATTTGGAGAAACTCTATAGGATTAGCAAATGATTCATTTGACTGAGAAGTATCACTTGATCGGGAGTGGAGTAGCACATGGTTTGCAATCTAGCATAGCCGTTTCCTGAAGGATGCTCTGAAGGTATTAAGTTTGATGGAGAAATAAATGGGTATTGGTGCGGTCCACCTGAATGCTGAGGAACTTGGACACTTGGCCAAGGTTCTTGACTTGGAAGGTAGAGGGTAATTGTTGTGTGAGGTCCTCTATAGCAGCCATGTTAGTGCCCGTTATATGCATATTATCAACGTAAATCAAAATGAAGAGTTGCTGCATTGGTGTGCTCGAAAAAAGCAAGGACGGATCAGTTTTGTTGATATGGAAACCTCGATCGAGAAAGAATTTGGAAATAATGAAGAAACCATTGTCGGGGAGATTGTTTAAGCCTGTATAGTTCTTTCTTGAGCAGGCAAACGTGATTGGGAAACTGAGGATCTTTGAAGTCGATGGGTTGTTGCATATAAATTGTGTCAGCAAGATGTCCGTGCAGAAATGTGTTAACAACAACAAAGTGGAAGAGTGGCCACTGTTTGTTGAAGGCAATAGTGAAGAGAGTGCGAAGGTTAGTCATCTTGACAATTGGGCTAAACATTTCTGTATAATTAATACCGTATTCTGGTTCATAGCCTTGGGCGACAAAGTGGGCTTTATAGCAGGCTACAGTTCCATTTGCATTGAGCTTGGTACAGTATGTACAACAACATCCGAGTACAGGTTGATTTGGTGGGGGAGGGACCAAGTCCCATGTCGCTTGAACTTGAAGGGCATTGAAATTCATCATTCATGGCCTGTCGCCAATGTAGGAATTTTAAAGCTTGAGTGTAAGAGGTCGGATTTGGATTGTGTTGAAGTTGTGGGGAGACGTTTAGTTTTTGAATAAGTTTCAGGTTGCCTGATTTGGTACAGGTATGCATAGGGCGAGTAATAAGTGCAAGTCGTGTTTTAGGCAAGTTAGTGGGAGAGGGGAATTGTGGTTGTTGTAGAATTGAATCAGGAGGGGTAGGTATCGGGTTCGGTTGGGTAGCAGGAGAAGGGAGACGAATCGGGGATTGCTGATAGAGGGATTTGGCTGGTGTATAGAGATTGGAGACCTTTGGGAGATGGTGGAATGTGGCACTAGAAGCAGAGGTTTGAGTGGAATAGACGAGAAACAAAGCACCGTGGCACGCTCATCGACGGAAGCTGAATACCGCGCCTTGTCAGCAGCAACAGCTGGTCCGCTTTGGCTTCGCCAACTACTAGTTGAATTCGCAGTTGCCCAAGAATCCCCTACCCATCTCTTCTGTGACAACGTTTCCGCAATGGCTATCGCAAAAAATTCGGTCTTCCACACACGCACGAAACAAATTGAAATTGATTATCATTTTATCCGGGAAAACATACAAGTCATACTCAGGATCAGCCAGAGTTAACTAAGCCCTTGGTAAAACAGCATTTTAATCTTCTTAAGTCCAAGTTTCAAATTCTTGACAAGACCCATCAGCTTGCAGGGCGATACAATAACTAAAGAAAGACTAACAACTCAATAACAGCAATTAAAGAAGACGTAGAATGCTGCATCAAATTTTATGATTAATGTCATAAACATTGAAAAAATTAAGAAAGAAATCCAAACCAAAACAAGGAGAGTTTGTCCTTTAAAGTCCCCATAAGAAATCCATTAATATAATACGAGCATCGGAAAAAAATAAAGTGTAAATCCAAAAGACCACATAAATATTCGATTGAATTTTCAGAAAATAATCATTCATCACCTGAGGCATTTGCCAAGCGCCGGGGATATCAAGCCGTGAAGCTGTAAAGATCTGCACATAAACTGTTGCCACAATTAGACTGAAAAATGAAATTAAGATGAGCTGTTGAAGTAGTAAAAAACCTAACGGCTCTCCTAAGACCTTCTTTGATGAATTTACGAGACATATGCCAACGTTCTTTCGGTAGCCCGCGTGAGGTGCTTCCATGGATGAGCAGAAGCGAAGCTGTCGCCCGCCCGTAGAGCTGCCAAACGGAGGAGGATCGATTGGGCGGCGGAGCAAGTATTTACTAAGTGTGGGATGCGCGAGCAGACTGAATGGGAAGGGACGACACAAATAGAACATTGAACCCTTTAGAAGATGCCCGGCTAGGCTATTTCAATTTATAAATATTTTTATATCTATTGCTCATATATTATAGACTTATTATATTAAGAAATCTTGACTTTATATGACTACTAGTAAATGTATGGAAAATTTAAATACATATTACATAATTCATTTGTACTTTGATATTTAAAATATCAAGCTTTCGCTTAAGAAGGGCTATTTGACTATTCTCGAATACTATGAAGGCATTTATTTCATCCAGCATAAGCAAGAGGCATCACTTGAAGAAATAACATCATATGTGTCTTGGATTATGGGGCTCTAACTCAAGTCGACTTGTGGCACAACCTTTTTTAGTTTCTTCTCTCCCTCTGCGCACCCATTCATGTACATTCATAAAAATCATTGTTAGCCTCTCCATATCATGATTGAGAATGGCAATTTTGACCTCATCACTGAGGGTTAAACCTCCTTTTCACCATTATCAACCCATGTAAAGTTTAAATGAGTGTTGTGGGTCTATTGTGTGATAGAAAAAGTACCGCTTAGATTGAAAATAAAATTTTGTAAGATGGTGGTGAAAGATGGTGGTGAGACCTGCAATGCTCTATGGCTTAGTTAGATTGAAAATAAAATTTTGTAAGATGGTGGTGAAACCTGCAATGCTCTATGGTGCATTCTATGGCTTAGAATCTTAGCCTTTATAAGAAAAGCACAAAACTAAGTTAAGTGTTGTCGAGATGAGAATGCTTAGGTGGATGAGTGGGTTTACACGTAGAGAAGAATGCAAAATGAATATATTTGTGATAGGGTTCGACAGCTCCAGTGGCGGACAAAATTAGGGAGAGTCGTCTTATATGGCTTTGTCACATTAAACGTCAACCATCTGAAGTTCCTGTTAGAAAAGTAGATGTTTTATATCTGAATTAAGATGAGAATGCTTAGGTGGATGAGTGGGTTTACACGTAGAGAAGAATGCAAAATGAATATATTTGTGATAGGGTTCGACAGCTCCAGTGGCGGACAAAATTAGGGAGAGTCGTCTTATATGGCTTTGTCACATTAAACGTCAACCCACATCAAACGTCGACCTTTGATGATCCGATTAGGAGAGTAGATGTTTTAGACTCGACTTATATTAAGAAAGGCAGAGGTAAACCTAGGAAGACTTGGGCTTATTGAATAAAAAATGATCTTAATTTATTATAAATAAATGAAAATATGACACTCAATAGGATGCAATGGAGAAAAAGGATCCATGTTGCTAACCCCACATAGTGGGATAAAGGCTTATTGTTGTTGTTGTAAGGTTTAAAGGAGATGAATCATCCATCACCTCTTAGGCTAGTATCAACTTGAGGCTAGTCCCTTATAAAGTTGTGCTCACTTGTTCTCTTAGCTTGAACTTCAATTTTATGTAGTCAAACTCAATAAAAGTAACAACTAGCTCACCTCCAGAAACCCCTATGAACAAACCCACTTTTCAACCACTCTTTTTTTATAGTCAACAAGTTAGCTGAAGACATCAATTAAGCTAGAAGCTTATGATTGATAGATTTCTTGAAAATAATGGTTTCTATACTAGTTACATCAAGGTCCAACTTGTTCAAATTAATTAGCTTTAGTTTTATGAGTTTTTGAATGTACCTCATATTTTGTTTACCCTTTCCCTTTGCCTCTCATTTATTGTGAGGACTACAAAAACCTCATAATGATCCTCAATCTTAAAGAAAATTAGGGAACATTTGATGTGGATGATAAGGATGGGATACCCAAGTTAATATAATGATGACAAAGGAATGGAGGGCATCATTCAAAGAAAGATAATAACATAATAATATAAATAATATTTCTAGCCATCCTTGCTTAAGTAGTTTAACATGAGAAAGCCGCTCAGCTTCATTTGGCATAAAAAATAAGCAACACTTTACAATATTTCAACATATATAGCATATTTCATATTTATATGTATTAAAATATGCATTATTACATTTTTTATGATGGAAAAAATTATATCTTAGATTTTCAAGTTTTGATCATATAAATGATTGCCATATTGCTTAAGTAGATGGATAATTGATTGTATATCATCTAAAGTTTATTTTTGTAAATTGAAGAATCAATGAAAGGTGGAAAGAGAAGAGAAGTGGGCATCACATGCTTGTTTACTAGCATAAAATATTGGCCATATCTCATAGAAAAAAGAATAGATCACACAAATTAATTTTTTATATAAGAATGATGACAACATAATAAGTACCAATATAGAAAATATTCTATAATGAACATTGATTATACTCTTTGTATAAATGGATGATGAAGGTGATAAGTATTAGTTTTCACAAATTCACATCTTTATGATCTATTCAATTTATAGTAATAATGATATCATGACCTTTTTTTGCATTAGCTTTTCATAACCATTTAGGTAAAATGAACTGAAAAAGTAGAGAATACCACTTAGAATGGAAACATTTGGCCTACATTTATAAACACTCACAATGCAAACATGTTTGAATAACTCAAATTAACTAAGAACAATGTGCTAGGTTCCAAATGTTTTTTATTATTTTTCCATGAAATATTTTAGAGTAAGAAAATAAGAACATTAGTATAAACTTAATAATTATTCAATCTCAGTTTGATGCAATTCAATTGATTAGAGGAAGTAAGCATCACAGTTCTAACCAAACCCATAAATGAGATACATTTCGTAGCTGCCCTAATGTCAATTGGCCATTGAAGTTGTAATTGGAAGCTGCAGTAGCAATTAACAATATAGTTTATAGTTGATCACATCACATGGGTTATAGTTGGTAACTATAGTAGTGTTTGTTGACTATAGATGTCATAGTTGAAAGTTGTGATGATAGTTAACCACAAAAGTCATAGTTGGTAGATGTAGTAACATCAGTTGATCACATAGATCATTGTTGGAAGCTGCGGTAGCAATTAGCCACATAAGTTGTAGTTTTTAGTTGGACCGTGTCAGTTGGTCACAAAAGCTATAATTTAAAATTATAGTTGCAGTTAGTCACATAAATCATAGATGCAATAACATTTGTTAGCCACAAATGTCATAGTTATTTGCATAGGCCTTAGTTGACAGTTAAAATAATAATTAGTTATATAGATCATAGCTGGTGCAACACCTGTTGGTGGGAACAATCATTTTTCCTTTTTTGTTTACTATTTTACACCAGAGAGATCAATTTTCAGTAAATGACGTGAGGAGAAAATTTCAAAAATCTGGAAAAAATCCCTGTATCCTGAATACAACAATCATAGGCAATTTTTGTCGGAAGTTATTGTTGAATTTTCAATACACCATGTTTGAGATGTCATTGCATAATGTTCAACATATGTTGTTCTCCTGTACTCGAGATATTGTGTCATCTCATATTCATGATATTTTGTTAAGCCTTATTTAGGATACATTGTTACCACATATTCGAGATACTTTGTTGCTTTGTTCGGGATACTGTGTTGCACCGTATTTGAGGTACTTCATTACCCTGTATTTTAGGTATTTCATTAGCAAATAGAGTTAACCGATGATGAAGACTAGAGGAGGCTAGCAGTTTTCAACGAAGACTGGCTCCAAAGGAGGAACATTTTGGTCTTTTGGAGAGTAACTTTCCCAACCACATGATCGAACAACTCATATTGATCCTTTGATCATCTCGAAATTTTTTGTTGATTTAAGGGTCTTAATGACTTTTTCAATTTTATGTAGTCAAACTCAATAAAAGTAACAACAACTAGTTCACCTCCAGAAACCCCTATGAACAAACCCACTTTTCAATCCACTATTTTTTTATAGTCAACAAGTTAGCTGAAGACATCAATTAAGCTAGAAGCTTATGATTGATAGATTTCTTGAAAATAATGGATTCTATACTAGTTACATCAAGGTCCAACTTGTTCAAATTAATTAGCTTTAGTTTTATGAGTTTTTGAATGTACCTCATATTTTGTTTACCCTTTCCCTTTGCCTCTCATTTATTGTGAGGACTACAAAAACCTCATAATGATCCTCAATCTTAAAGAAAATTAGGGAACATTTGATGTGGATGATAAGGATGGGATACCCAAGTTAATATAATGATGACAAAGGAATGGAGGGCATCATTCAAAGAAAGATAATAACATAATAATATAAATAATATTTCTAGCCATCCTTACTTAAGTAGTTTAACATGAGAAAGCCGCTCAGCTTCATTTGGCATAAAAAATAAGCAACACTTTACAATATTTCAACATATATAGCATATTTCATATTTATATGTATTAAAATATGCATTATTACATTTTTTATGATGGAAAAAATTATATCTTAGATTTTCAAGTTTTGATCATATAAATGATTGCCATATTGCTTAAGTAGATGGATAATTGATTGTATATCATCTAAAGTTTATTTTTGTAAATTGAAGAATCAATGAAAGGTGGAAAGAGAAGAGAAGTGGGCATCACATGCTTGTTTACTAGCATAAAATATTGGCCATATCTCATAGAAAAAAGAATAGATCACACAAATTAATTTTCTATATAAGAATGATGACAACATAATAAGTAACAATATAGAAAATATTCTATAATGAATATTGATTATACTCTTTGTATAAATAGATGATGAAGGGGATAAGTATTAGTTTTCACAAATTCACATCTTTATGATCTATTCAATTTATAGTAATAATGATATCATGACTTTTTTTTTGCATTAGCTTTTCATAACCATTTAGGTAAAATGAACTGAAAAAGTAGAGAATACCACTTAGAATGGAAACATTTGGCCTACATTTATAAACACTCACAATGCAAACATGTTTGAATAACTCAAATTAACTAAGAACAATGTGCTAGGTTCCAAATGTTTTTTATTATTTTTCCATTAAATATTTTAGAGTAAGAAAATAAGAGCATTAGTATAAACTTAATAATTATTCAATCTTAGTTTGATTCAATTCAATTGATTAGAGGAAGTAAGCATCACAATTCTAACGAAACTCATAAATGAAATACATTTCGTAGCTGCCCTAATGTCAATTGGCCATTGAGGCTGTAATTGGAAGCTGCAGTAGCAATTAACAATATAGTTTATAGTTGGTCACATCACATGGGTTATAGTTGGTAGCTATAGTAGTATTTGTTGGCTATAAATGTCATAGTTGAAAGTTGTGATGACAGTTAACCACAGAAGTCATAGTTGGTAGAGGTAGTAACATCAATTGGTCACATAGGTCATTGTTGGAAGCTACGGTAACAATTAGCCACATAAGTTGTAGTTTTTAGTTGGACCGTGTCAGTTGGTCACAAAAGCTATAATTTAAAATTATAGTTGCAGTTAGTCACATAAATCATAGATGCAATAACATTTGTTAGCCACAAATGTCATAGTTATTTGCATAGGCCTTAGTTGACAGTTAAAATAATAATTAGTTATATAGATCATAGCTGGTGCAACACCTGTTGGTGGGAACAATCATTTTTCCTTTTTTGTTTACTATTTTACACCAGAGAGATCAATTTTCAGTAAATGACGTGAGGAGAAAATTTCAAAAATCTGGAAAAAATCCCTGTATCCTGAATACAACAATCATAGGCAATTTTTGTCGGAAGTTATTGTTGAATTTTCAATACACCATGTTTGAGATGTCATTGCATAATGTTCAACATATGTTGTTCTCCTGTACTCGAGATACTGTGTCATCTCATATTCATGATATTTTGTTAAGCCTTATTTAGGATACATTGTTACCACATATTTGAGATACTTTGTTGCTTTGTTCGGGATACTGTGTTGCACCGTATTTGAGGTACTTCATTACCCTGTATTTTAGGTATTTCATTAGCAAATAGAGTTAACCGATGATGAAGACTAGAGGAGGCTAGCAGTTTTCAACGAAGACTGGCTCCAAAGGAGGAACATTTTGGTCTTTTGGAGAGTAACTTTCCCAACCACATGATCGAACAACTCATATTGATCCTTTGATCATCTCGAAATTTTTTGTTGATTTAAGGGTCTTAATGACTTTTTAATTAAGAGAGCTACAACCCATTGAATTCTTCTCATTGAGAAGCTTGAATTGATTATAAATATGTAAAATTTGGAGTTCATTTAACCATTCAATTAACGATATAAAATATCTAAAAGTGCTTTAATTGCTTGACATGGACTCAATTGATCTCAGATTAAACCAATTTTAGTATCAACATGTTCTTCTTGTCAAGACAGTTAGTTTAGCTACAAACTTGCTGAAGTTGGAGCCCATATGATCTTTAATTTGAATTGAAATGTTTTTTATTTTAAAAATTATCTCGAGATTCGTGCAAAATGATCAAATTTCTTGATGAAATATCAATATTTAATATTAATTAGTTATTAATTATCTAAGTTTGGGAGATAATTTATTTTGGTTTATTATATGATATTAAAGAGTTTAGTAAAAATCTAGGAGTGCCTCCCCATACCACTCTCTGGCACATAATTATAAATTAAAAATATACATGTTATTGCTAGATTTCCAAGAGCATATTATATGGAGTTCTAAAGATAAACTAAGACATAGATTTGTGCAATTTATAATGATGTAGACATCACAATCAAAAAGAGGTTTTAAGTTGGATGATTCAACAATGTCTCCTATATATATTACAATTATATTCAACTGTATTAAATCTTTTTTGATAGAATTTCTTTCTTCTTATTGTGATAATACAAGACTATCACTAGACTTTTAATTAGAATTGAAGTTTTGGATATATTTTCAAGATAAACATATAATGCATAATTCTGAATTTCGAATAAGAGAATATTATGTATAAAATTTAGATACATCTGGATAGGGCCGGTCTCACATATGATTTAGAAGGGTCATTGTCTTCCTTAAACTCAGATTTTTACTTATATAAGAGATCAATTTGGTCTTTTGCCCTCTTCTGAAATATCTTTTTTGTCGCTCTTGAAGTATCACTTTGCTCTTCGTTGTACTAGCCCCTCTGAAATTGGGTTTAGGAGGCTGTTTGCCCCCCTTAAAAAAAATGATAGTTTTGCCCCTGTATTCGAACTCCATGTACAATATTATTATATACTATTATAAAGTATGTATATAACAGTGTCAATATGATTGTACATATTACATCAACAGTCCCCTAAAAATTAAAAGGGACAAATACAAATGACCACACGAAACGAATCAAGCACCGAGCACAAGTCCTCTGTGCCTGCACCTCCATTTGAATTGTCTTCATAGACACGTATTGTGGTCACGTACCGTGGTGTGACTCACTCCCGGTCTCAACCATCATGAAACTCAACCGAAGCCAAGCACAATTTCTGTTTCTCAAAAGTCACCACATTCGTCAATATATAAACAAGATTTTCAGTTGTATTTATCTTTTCCAGAAATATTTGTCCTTCTTCTATAATAAATCGAATGAAATGATATCTGTGCTCGACGTGTTTGGCTCTAAAATTGTCCATCTTCTAGAAAAAACTGTCCATCTCTATTTCATTATTTCTCTTTTAAATTATCACTCAATCATCAAAATTCATCGTAAAAACCATGGTTTAAAAAACAGGACCAGTTCGACCGTTTCGACCGTGAACTGATCCTAAGTCCGGTTCTGGTTGGCATAAAAAACCTTTCATGCATAGAACCACCCAGAACTAGGTTGGACCAGCGGTTCAACCCCTGAACCGACAAACTGGCTCTAGTTCTAAGCAACTATTCGGTTCACGGGCAATCGCATAAATACCACCCATTTTTATGTATTTTACAAATCTAACACCTAAACTCTATTTCTTTAAAATTTATACCACCCAAATCACTCATATGTCATAAAAAAAATCATTATCACAAAAGAAACCCAATTTACAGGCATGCCACTATATTTTATTTATTTACATATCCAATACCTAAACTCTTTTTATTTTACATTTATACCTCCAAAATTATTTATCGCACATAAAATGCATCATTATTTTAATTTTTAAAAAGTGCAATACATGTTTTCATGCATAGCTGAAATGCTATATGTTAAAATTGAATTTTAGGTATTAGTTATTCAAATATATATAAATTGTGAGGGATACAAATTTTATGTCTTGTCATTTTTAAATACATTTATGATTGATTAGATCTTCAAGTTGAATCTTCGATTTAAGCTCGATTCAACTTTTAAATCTTGAACCTCTCATTCTAGATAAAAATTTGCGTACGTAAGACATACGCAGCGCTAGGTACATAATGAGGGTTATATTCGCGTTATATCCGCATTATATCAATATTATATCATTTGTAACCTCAATGTAAACTCGATATAACCTACATGTAACGTACCTGAACTTACAAATAAGTTTCGCACTTCTGTTTTCACATATTTGTATGTTACATGAAAGTTACGTGAGATATAATACGAATATAATGTCAATATAATGTGAATATAATCTTCATTATATACGCAACACTGCATACGTCTCACGTACGCAAATCTTACTACTCATTCTATGAGTTCATTCATTGTACAGTTATTATTATTATTTTTTTTAATGAAATTCTCAATAGTTTGATAGGATTAATTTGTAAATATCAATGATAGGATGGTCCCTATGTAATTAATTATCCCGAATTAAAAATCCACAACGAAAGACTTGCATTTGTCCGCACGGGAGGCCAAGTCTCGGACTCTGTATTGCCTGATCTTCTGACCCTGCATCTCCGCTCGTCTTCCTCTACCGGCATGGCAACCGCCGTCGCAATAGCAGAAGCCCTTCACTTCTCTCTGGCGTCAGGCCTAGGAGTACACCGGCAGCGACGGCCTCCTCTGCTTCGTCTCAGCTTTATATCCTCTGTAAATTCTTACGTCAGTGCTCTCCTCTTTTTCCGTTCTTATTTTCCTTTTAATCCATGAAATCTAATGCTATTTTTATCTTAAAGATTAGTGAAGTAAATGACATGAAATGAAATCCAACCAATTTGGAGTTTCGTTATGAATATGAAGCCATTGATTTGAGTTTCGAAACTCTTTTTTTTTTTTTTTTTTTTTTTTTTCATTTTCTTTCAATCAAATTCCCGGCATCCAAACGCGGCCTATATTGCATTTTGAAGCGATTAATACAAGAGAAACCAAGCTGGGTATTGTCCATAGATAGTATGCTTGTTTCTTCAAGATCATTTATATCCTAGTTGTTGTGCTATTGCTCTAAAATCTGGAAGGAGGGAATATCATGCGCAAGAATATAAGAGTTCAATGCAGTTTAGAAAATTGCTGAGAAAGTTCTTTGTTGAATTCGCCATATTTGTTGCCCTAGGTTAGCCTCCTAGGAGACTTGACCGAATTGTCTTAGTTGATCATCGATATTAGGCCTCTAGGGTGAACTACCCCATGGGGATACTTGGTCAAGTTACTCGATCAAGTCGATCTAAATGATATGTCATGTTGGCTCATCGACTTGAATAGCTCATAGTTTTGGATATAGCCTAGGGGCTTTTGGCATACACTTACATTCACTGGAGGCAACAAACTCACCATAAATTGGGAGAAAAAATACTTTGAATTTTTCTCAAGATCTTCACATATACAAAGGAAAGGCTTGTTGTTGTTGTTTTTCACATATACAAAGGCCAGCGCAAGTTGTTACTTGTAGGATTAACTATAAGTGAGCATTAGGTTGGTTTACACATTAAAGTTTTCATCCACTATTCTATTTTCCCAACCACCATGCATGGTAACCTGTTACGCTTGCCCAGGAGGGACCGGCCGGGACCCAACCAACCTAGCTAAGCAGGTCGGCTGCCTGGGAAGAGTCCACCTCCTGTGTTGGGCCCATCAAGCCAATAATCATGTACGCAAGGAGAGGAATTAAGGGGAGATTTTGGGGGAAAGTTTGAATGTGCTTTGTGGGTGTTTTGTTAGGGCTAGTCACATAGGATTTGTGTAATATATTGATTCCTGCAATTTCTTCCTTGTCTTTTTGGTGGTATCTAGAGTTTGTGGACAACCGACCCACCTCATGAATTATAGATCATCCCCTGTATCTTGTTTTTTTGCCTTGGCATTAATCAAACTAGCCCTAAATTGGGTTTTTTCACATAATACTTGCAATTTACTCGCTGATTTTGGCTCTGATTCGTATCATATCCTTAATTATAAACTCTCATAATGGCCTTAAATTTAGACATATTTGTTGGGTATTTTTATGATAAGAAATGAGCCATTATTTTCAATAATATATATTTTGATGAGCTTTTTATGAAGAATGATGTTGCTTCATTGCGCCTTTAAGTGCTAAGAACTTGAAAGAGGTTGTTGAAGTCCAAAATATTGGAACTTGCTCTCTATAATCAACTTCATCAATATGTCGGCAAATTGCAACCCAATCTTTTACAATAGAATGCCCTCTTTTTCTACTATTTACTTAATAAAGTGGTTTCGAATGTTGATATATTTGGTATAATCATGATGGCCTTAATTCTTTGCGGAATAAATAATAATCTTAACTATCACAAAAAATCTTTTTATTTTTATTTTGTTAAAATTCTTGAGTTCATTTGAAGATTCCTTAGGCTTCTAAAAGCTTACGCAACAATTTGATTAGGTTTATATGGGTTCTAATAATTGGCTCCCAACTCTTCTGAGCGAGTTGGGTTTTTGGTTAAATCTTTAGAATGCAAATTGGTTATTAGATGAGATATAACTAAAAAAATTGCCCTTATTTTGTGAGGATTTTATGAACTAATTCTAAGTTTTCGATAGGCATAAATTTTCGATTAAGATTTAAGGATAGTTGCTAAGTACTTAATATAGAACAACAAAAAATTGAATTTAGAACTTTTGGCATTGCATAGTAGGAGGATGACTTGCTTGAGAGTTGAGAGTGCACGTATGACATGTTGTTAAGTTAAAGCTTTTGAAAGATTTTATGCATTTCAAAATAATAACACGACTATGGAGACTGACGCGCCAAAACTTACCTGGATGTAGGTCGGCTCTACAACGCAAGTGCACGTGTTAAGTAGTAAGAGTACCGCGTATAGATCCTAGGATGAAAGTGTTAAGAATTATTCTGCGGTATGAATATTTAGTTTACTAAAATTTTAAACCTAGTTTAGCGCGATCACAAACAGGAGATGATTTTCTAAAATCCTACTAAAAAGCGAAAATAAGCGATAAAGTGTTTGGAAAGATGGAAAACAACAATAGATAAATCTTACATGTCTTCAAGTATGTGAGGCTCGCGCCCCTGTGATTTAGGTAATGTAGGCATTCATGATTTTTCTAGACTTTCCCCAATGCGATTGTTGTCAACGAGGATAGAAAGTCCTCCTTATACTTATGTCTAGGTCAAAAGAAGGCTAGAATCCATGAATTTTAGGCTTTCTCAATCTTCATGGAATCTTGCAGATTTATTCCGATTCCTTTTTTAGGTTGAAAAACCTAGATAAAATATATCTGTTGTTATCAGGATTTTGTGGTTAACCATTTCGTGCCTCTGAGTAACTGGTGGGAGTCATAGATCATGAAATATGTTAACATCTTGACTAATATGATTAAGAGTAAATGAAACAATATGGTTAACGCAACAACGAAGAACCCTGATTTCTTAGGAAAATGATACAGAGAAAAAAAATCATTCTAGAAAACCACAAAACAAATCCCATAAATCATAGAAGTGCGAAAGAAAGTTTAGTTACATGTGATAGAAAGAAGACCGAAAAAAAATCCCATCAAAACCATTGTTGCAAAGAAAACTTAAAAGTAAACACTTACAAAATGATTTATTTCCTCTTCCACAGCAGCTAACTCCTCTTTCATACAATAACCACTCAAAAAATGTAAGAACAATACGAAGAAAAAGATAGGAAAAAAACCTTTAGGACCTCAACCCCAACAGATGTAGAGGAAACCTAAGGAAAACTCTCCAAAAACCTCTTCTCCCGCCGTCTATAGCTCTCCTGTCCACCCAAGGATCTTTCAATTAGTATCTTGGCTTCCCTTTTAAAGATTCAACAAAAATTGACATGAAGAAACCTTCCAAAACGAGATCTGACGGCTTGTCGGTGTGGTCACGCCAGACCCTAGCATGGTCATGCTCGAAACTAGCGTGGTCACACCCAGATTAGGCGTGGTCACACCCAGATTAGGCGTGGTCACACCCAGATTAAGCGTGGTCACATCGGACAACACTATACAACGCGTTTTGACCCCATTTTGCATGTTCGACACCTTTAACATGTATAACATCAATAAAAACCTTTCTCAAGTGTAAATCCATGATAAATAAGTGAAAATAACCTAGAAAATGTAGGAGAAAATATAGGTAAAATCACTAAAATTAACGCATGTCAGAGACCAAACAAAATTTGAGTTTATTTCATATGTTGTCCACACAATATTTTATGATGTTAAATTTAAGTACTTGGCACATTTGTCATGACACATATAATTATTTTTCAAGTATTTGTTTTGTGCGTGCCTTTTTGAAATGCCGAATGACCTGTGAAACTTAATAATAAATTGCTTTTCTTATTTAAAAAAAAAATTATTTATAGGTGCATTTTGCCTTTTGATAAGTTTGCATGTTATTTTTAGTGATTGATGTCCCTGTCACGTAGAGCATTTGTGAAACCTGTGACACATTTTAGTTTAGACCATTTTTGTTTGAAGGCCATCTATGTGGATGCAAAACTATTTAGGATGTGTCGGCCTGACGCAATAGTCATTCATATAACTTTGTTTTCATTCAACTTGCGTGATTTTTATTTTTGAGTTCATTAGTGCTCACATATTGTCCACATTTATGTATTAGTTTATAATTTTGATTGTGATCATTACAAGTTAATATCTATTATATTTTTTTTCAAAGAGGCACAATTGGTTTATATTTGGCTTGTATTTTGCTCTTGTGGGCTCCCATAAAAATTATTCTTTCATCTATAAATGGGGACTCATCTTAGTTCATTTTCTCCTCAATTCTAGTTAATAGAGTGTATCTTTTTAGAGTTTTGAATATTTGAGTGAATTTTTATTGGAATTTGGAAGTTATGTACTCATGGGCGAGCTATTAAGTTCTTTGTAAGTCAGAATGTTTAGTTTTGTTTTTTGCTATGCATGTTGCATTTCCTATATAAATTTGTTTGTTTGATTATTTTACTTCATTTGTAGTTCGGAATTCCTTATTTATTTGCTCTAAGTATGTTTCACTAACAGCAGTCCTGCCTGGGTCTTTGTATTTGTGTAAAATATTTCATGACTTTCCTGTCACCTCAATAAAGATGCATGTAGGTGCTTATGCTTTTTACCTCGGGCTTTCTTCTCCCACCACATCAAAAAGATGTGTATGAATCTTCTCTCCACCATGCCAAACAAACAATATGTATATGGTTACAACACAATAATATATATATATATATATATATATATATCT